TGATTTGCCAAATGGAGAGAGCACCCAGATGACCTTGTTCTGTAGATAGGGTCCTTTAATGTGTTTGTGTCAAGAAGAGGAACAAGCTTTTTTTTTTTTTTTTTTTTTTTTTTTTTTTTTTTTTTTTTTTTTTTAATTTTAGAGGTGTTGGGAAAGGGAAGTGCAGATGAGTGCTGCCACAGGCTGGTCCAAACCTTCAGTGTCTGGCAGGGAAGGAATTAACCAGCCCCTTAGCACCCAGTGCTGCAGGTGGGAGAGGGGCTGATTTGGGGCAGCTGGGAGAAATGAGCTGGTTGCTTTGGGAGTGGGGGCTGTGTATATGACTGTGTTAGCATAAAGGCAGCGTTGCTGCTTGCTGGCTTTGGATGCAAGATAGGGTTAGGCTGAGACACGCTATTCTTTGTGTTGTCTGCTGGAATCCTGTATTCCTTTGCAATTAAATGCTCCCATCTTTAAGGTGATGGTGAGGTAGCTGTGGTCCCTAGGCCCTGTGGCATTCCCTGCTGCTGTTCCCCCTGAAGGAGGCAGGCTGTTCAGCTGAGGCTGTATGCAGAGCTGTAGGAGAACCTGAGTGGGATAAACTCTTGTGGGGGAAGGATGCTGGGTCTGATTCTCTGTTGTCTCACAACCTTCTGTAGCTGCTGGTTCAGTGCAAAAACGATGAGAAATACTGAATGAACAATTCCCAGCGGGGCAGGGGAACAGTAGCACCCAGAAGAAAGTTCAGGTGGGAACTGCAGTCCTTCCATGTAAATGCTAAGTGCTGTGGGGTACCAAAACACCAGCATTTGGGGCTGTACTAGGCAAAGGTGGTGAATCCTTCAGAGCGGGAGGAGCAGCTGCTGTAAAAGGTAACTGGAAAATGCAGAGTGTTTTGTGTTTGCCTGGCTGTGGGAGCGTCATGTTCTTGGGGCTGCCAGAAAGAACAGGGTGCACAGAGCAGCCCAGGGTGTTTTGGTGTGTGCAGCCATGTCCTGCCCACATCACAGAGGTTTGAAAGGAAGAGGGAGAAAATAAGTGGTGAAACTGAAGAAGGAAGTGACATTGGCACAATGGTGAGCTGGTGCGTGCGGGCTGCAGGCACATCCCAGGTGGACTGGAAGAAGGGAAAGGAGACGTGGTGTGAAAAAAAAACTCGAACGAGCATTAAAAAAAAGTAGCAAACAAGAAGTCAGCTCTTGAAATGGGCCTGCTGGAGCTGGGAGTCCTGTCCTAGGAATCCTTTACACCCAGAATCCAACGTGGTATTCCCAGACCTCTGTCTGGTTCCTTTTTTTCCTCACCAGTGTTGTCCCCCTCCCCCTCCTCCTCCTTTGTCAGGCAACTCGTTAACACTTATTAGCAAGCATCTTCAAAAGGCCGGGAGGGGGGAGGAAAGGATGGGAGGGGAGCTGAGATGGCTAAAGGAAATGATTAGGAGATTCCTTTTCCTTTCTGCCTATTCAAGCTTTAATGACCAGCCCCTGCTCTGTCTGTGCCCTGCATTGTTACCCAGCCCTACCCAGGGTCGCTGCACCCTTGCTACCCCTGCACTGATCTGCTCTGACATCTGGGACACTGTGAGTGCCCGAGTGCCCACAGTATCTAACCTTTCTGATGCTGGGGAGGCTCGCTGGTTCTTAGCTTTGCTGCTGCACTAGGCGTTGGTGCCAGTGCTGTGTCAGCACTGCTGTGCTCCTCTGAGTTTATCTTGGTGTTGGGGGCATCAGTGCCAAACTGCCTTGCTTGGTCTGCCTCTCGCAGGTCTGAGATCCTGCCTGGAGACTGATCTCTGTTTACATCTAAACATGGTTAGTAAATCTTGGGAATCCAGCATCAATTACCAAGAATCCACTGGGCAGCAAGCGGGTTGTTCTTGTGGCTGGGATTTTGCTTGCTTGAGGTGAAGGAAGGATGAGTACAGGAGACAGGACTTGGCTCAAAGCTTTCTATTTTTGCCTTGCAGCTCCAGAGGCTTCAGTTGCAATGCATGTGCTGTGGTTTCCACTTCAGCTAGTTATCTAGAGCTGAGCACTAATCCCATCGGAGCTGATGGCAGAGTTCCCATTGGCACTGAGAGGAGCAGGCTGGATCAGTGGAATCTGTTCTTTTGTGGAATGTGGGTTATACTTGTTTTGTTCTGTCCACCAGATTGGTGTTTCTTCACCTTATCCAAGCCATGGTACCAAAATTACAGATCATGATCTGTTTTCTATGTGTTAGTGAAACCTTGCAGGATTTTTCTGGTGAAAGACTCCTGGTCTTTTGACCATGACCTGGTCATGGTAATCCTAGGAATGGATGCTTAGAGCCTTGACGTGAGAAGAGTATCTATGTGGGTTCTGGGCAAGAGCTAATAGGTCTGGGCTGGAGACAGCTGGAGACAGATCTGGCCCTAAAAAGCAGACCTGGCTGATCTCAGCACCTTGGGCCGAGTCTGTGCTCTCATGGTTCAGTGCAGCAGAGCACAACTTGCCCAGGTAGTTCAACGACCTTCGTGTCAGCATAAAGATGAGCACCGATCTGTAGAGAAGAAGATGGAGCTGGCGGGTTAGCTTCATCTGGATTTCAGTTTATAGCATGATCCTTGGATAATCTAGAGGAAAATGAGGCTGAAGAGACAGTGGTGGCTGGCTGGAGCACTCCTCCCCATACCCAGACTGTGCAGCGCCTGCTCGGTGCTGAGCGCCGTCTCTCAGAGCAGTTCATGCTAGGTTCCCTCTTTCAACAGCTTGTTATTGCAGTGTCTGCTGAGGGTGAGAGAGAATCTCCTCTCTGTCACTAACAGAGGCTATAATCTGGAAAAAAAAAAAAGTGCATTTTGAGATTTATACTGGAAAATTGGAACTATACATGGGAAAAAAAACACAGGAGTACTGGTGAGCTGGAAAAAAATACAGACAAATATTATTTCTTAGTGCTTTCTTTTTTTTTTTTCAGAGTTTAATTTCTTTATCTGTTACTTCTTCCATGCAGCATTTTGGAAAGAATTTGGCAAATGTATGAAAGCAATCTGTAGGATACTTTGTAGTCAGATGCCATAACCTAGATTAACTTGTCTGCTCATACAGAAATAGCCACTAAAGAAACACACTGATTTATGTGTCAGCTTGAAACTTGTTTGGGGGAACTGCTATAGCTGTGGAATACAAAAGATATTTAGGACAGTCAGTACAAAAGTTTCTTAGCTTCTTCGTGTGAAAAGAGGGGTGAATTTCAATTATGTATTTTATTAACGCAGCCTTTTTAGCTCTATAAAATGGTAACAATGTTAAAATCCCCTCCTGGGAAATAATGGCACATATGCCATAGAGAGAGCGCTTGAGGATGTTATGAACTGCTGGTGGAATTAACCAGTTGTTAATCAGCTCTTTGCTTGCATGCTGCTCCAGCCTAAACTGAAGATGATCAGATGATAACTTGGAATCACAGAATTGAGTTGGAAGGGAACCCAAAAAGGTCTTCTAGTCCAACTCCTCTGTCATAGGGAAGGTCATCCAGCCCAACTTGCAGTTTTGTTGTGAGCTTGGTGTCTAACAAGATGTGCAAAGAATTATTATTGTGATTTAAAAACAGGGTAACTCGAATTAAGCTTTCATTTACAGGTGAGTCAACAGTGGGTTGGTGCTGAGGTGGGTCTGAGTGGGCACCACTGGCTGATGGCGCACTGGTGACTCTTGCCATGGGTTGGGTCAGTAACCACAGAGGCACCACATGGTCACCTGAGTGTCACTGTTCCTGTGATGCACTGCGTAGGGCACCCAGGAAATATTCAGAGCACCAGAGTCTGCTAGAATGATCCTGCAGGGCTCCTGATGGGACGTAGCTTCAGAAGTGAATGCAGTGACCCACGAGGCACGAACTCTGTGTGGTGACTGCACTACCTTGTTGTCTTCCAGTAAGTGCTTGTTTTCCTCCAGTAGTAGAGAAAGTGTTTTGGTAATATAATCCCAACGAATGAAGGGGCTTTCTTAATTAAAGTAATAATCTGAAAGTTGTCATTGGTAAGTGTGTAAACAAGCTGATTGCAATGGGTGCATGAATAGCTCTAATGAGCATGTGTGGGTATTAAATTAACCATGGTTCACAAACCATGCATGGCCGTACCATTATTTAGCAATAACCACTTTTCTCTGGTGCTTGACTCTGCCCACTGCCCCAAAACCCTTGTCTTTTCTATAGCATTGCACAGCAGAAAGGAACATGCATCTCTCACAAGATTGGGATTTAAACGCAGTTATTAGTCCTAAGGCAGCTGGGAAAGTACCATGTGATGTTGGCATTTTTCACTTGGATGAAGTGTTGCCCGTTGGGTTGAGCACAGGTGTTCAGCATCAACCTGTCCTTCCTGATGGGTTGTCCCAGGGCCTTTGGAGGTGGCAGTTCACTGCTGGCTGTGATGGAGAGGAGTGTTGGTGCGATGGGAGAATAATGGCTGTTGCAAGACAGTGGTACCATTAACGAGCTCCTTGGAGGAAAACCCTACAGAAGTGCAAATCATCTTACTTGCTATTAATTACTGATGTATTTATTCATTGCAATATGCAGGGCAGATATAGCAGGTTATCAGCTCAGCTGATCTGCAAGAGGGTGGACATCCAGGAGCTTCTTGTGATGGTCACAAGAAGGAGCTTCTAGACTTGTAGCTCTGATTTGCTTATGCTGGTAGGGATGTGGAGGAATTTTGTTTCTCCAGGTCCAGGAATGTCTCCTTGGTTTGATTAAAAGGGGCTTTTGTGTGTACCTTCCATCTCTTGGAATTGAAGCAGACTTTGAGTGCTAAATTTATTCTGGCTGGCTTTCCTGGGTGATTTTTGTCTACAGCCTAAAATGGCAAAGAAGAATACAACTGCAGGGTGCAGATTGGCTTCCAGAGATCAAAGTACAACTTCTTCCCTGATCCAGAGGAGCTCAGTTATGTGCTGCTGTGTACTGGAGGCTATTGAACCCAACCGCCCATTTTGGAAGCAACTTGTCCTGCTTTGCTGTCATTTTAGATCATCATATTATGAAGTGGAAATTCTGCCTCCTGCTAACTATTGTTTTGCTACAAATAGCCTCCTTCCTTTGGAGACCTGAGATCTGGCAGAGAATGAAGGTAGAGAGGAGATGCTGAATCCATGACACCACCAAAGACAACAGCTGGGCACTGTTTAAAGAAACAGTGTCTTGCATCATGAAACTGAAGGTAAATCCTATTTATTGCATGTGCTCCTGCCTCCAGCTTCTGCCTATTTTTGTTATCCAAACCAAAAATCTTAAGAGGCTGTTTTTGGTGATAACTTTTGAGAAAACTGCTACGACTTGCTGTGGCTATATCTCTCTATGTATTCAAACACCTGTCATGGGTGTTTTGTTCTTTTGGGTCTGTGTGGTCATCAAACAGACAAATGGACAACTGAGGTAAGCCTGGCTCTGAACATCTTTGTGTTTACAAAGTTCTCGTCTTTTCAGATGTGAAAAGTAACAGAAGAGGTTTATGAGGGGCTGTTTTCTTCTGATGCAGGCCCCAAGTAGTACCCCTTGCTCCTTGTCAGATACAGGTAATGGGTCCTGATCCCGTGGGCTGGCTGCTTGCTTAAAGCAGCCCTATGGTGTTGCTGGAGGTCCTGTTACGGTGTGGATCCCGCTCTTCCTTAGAAGCCTGGTGCTAAGTGAGCATTTCATGAATAAGAAGAAACACAAAACACCAAAGCAAACAAACAACAAAGCAAGTAGGGATGTTTTAGCAGAGCACAAGTGCTGTGCGTGCATCTGAGTGAAAATTGGAAGTCCACGGTGGAATTTCTACACTGGTGTGAGATCTGTCTGGATCACTTCCCTTTCCTGACACAGGAAAGGCAGCATTGCCCTGCTGGTTCTGAAGAGCTCTCTTGGCAGCCCCATGCCTGTTCAATTTGCACGTGGCCAAACTAAGTATAGGCTAGTATAAGAGGTATGCACTAAGCTGGCTGCTGCTGCCCTACTCTGAGGACAAGGTCTGGATGTCCTGGAATTGTGGGGAATTGTGATTTTTCAACTATATCTGTGAAGCAGACCAAGGCTTGCTGAAGATTCCAAGTTCCAAAGTTTAGTACTGCTGCCATTTCACACTGCTAGCAAAGTCTGTGTATATGCCATATAATTAACACCAGAAATTCTGACTCCTGAGGCTATAGGGTTAAACAAGTGTGTCCCCATTAAACTTGAATAATAAGAGGTTAACTCATTAGGAAAAGAACACTCCTGATGTGCTTAATGGAGGGAGAGAGCATTAACTCTTACGGTTCCTTACAAATCCTTGCATTAGTTTAACTTCCCTTTGAATGTTAATTTTTCTTCTATAGAATACTTTATAAAACTCTCCAAATGATCTCGTGTGTTCCGTATGAATCCTCTTTTGATTTCCTTGTTATTGACATGCTTGACTCCTTTGGAGTCTTTAAAAATACGTCCTGCTGTGCTGATGGCTGGCTGCATACTTATAAATAATACGCAATGCAGAACTTCTACAGAACAAAGGCAAATTCTGAAAACAGCTCATTTGAATGTCCAGTAGCAACAAGTCGCATGTCTGTGTCTTTCCTGGTTCATCCTTAGAGGGGAAAAAAATAAAAATGATGATAGGAGGGAAGACCTGGAGGTCCTAAGTCATATGCAATTGGCCTGCAAAGGTAATATTTTTCATCAGTGAGTTTTCAACTGTGAAAACACAGACAATAATCATTTTGATGATCTTGTATTTGCAGATCCAAAAGTAGTTAAGTTTCCAAGGGGTACACCTAGCTCATAAACCTCTACTTGTTGTTATGGGTCAAGGACTTGCTGTCATGTTTGGCTGGTTCTAGGGTTGAGTGCTTAGTGACTATCATTACTGTAAAATGTAATTTTTATTAATCATTACTGTAAAATGGGCTTCTTGGGTCAAGCAAAAGACACCTAATTTCAGGGGGAGACAGATGAAATATAGGCAAGTGAATACAAACAAGGCAGAAGCTTGCAAACCTAAAAATAGTTCTTAGTGGTTGTGGCATTAGCAAATCCTACCCTAATGCCTGCAGCTGCAGAATGACTTTGGAGATCCCATAATGCAGTTATCTGTTGAAGACGGTGCATATTCTTGCCTGAAAATACGAGTCTTGTGGAGCTGATTTCTCTCTTCACCCTGGACAGGGATGGAGGTTGGTCAGCTCCAGTTCCTTTAGTTATTTTGTCCTATTCTGAGGGCTGTTGCCCAATGGAAGTGTTTGTGAGAAGTGAGGTGTATCCTTCACATCTGGGAGATTCTTCAGGAGAAATTTTCCTGTCTCCAGGAAGCCTGAAATGCTGCAGTTCTTCTGAGCGGGGTGAGTCTGGGTTCTTTAGAACTTCTGGTACTATGATGACGATAACCCTATTGCAGGTTGCGTTACCACCCCAGAAAGAATAATTCAAGCTTTGACTCCATATGACGTACGGTTATATTATTAATTTGTGCAGTTTCACGTTGAAGGTCTGTGGGGGCAGGAGAAGAAGAACCCAGAAATGAGCTTTGCTTAAGGAACTGCTACATGTTTGAAGCAGCTTTAGCTGTGAGTGAAAGTGACCAAATGTAGCCTCTGCCTGTGTAATAATGTTTTTCAAGGCAGAAATAATAATTTATAATGCATGCAGCTGTGTAAGCTCTCAGCAGAATCAATTCTGGAATACTTTATTTTGTGGATCACCTGAGAATAGCCTATCTTCTCAAGGCGTGCAAGGAAGAGATACGAGAAGTCTGGTAACCCTTCCAAGTGAGGAGGTTTCCAATAGCAAATAGTAAACCAGTGATGTCAGCCAAAGACAGGAAATCAATGGTTTGGCTCCTGCGTCCTCCATGGCTGTGCCTCTTTCCTGTATGTGGGAGTGTGCCTGGATCTGGAACTGGATAAATAATCACACACCATCGTGTTTCATGTGGTGCAGTGGGTCTTGGAGTGCCTGGCTTCTGGGATGCGTAGGTGCTTAGTGTAAACACTGCTGAAGAACCTGTTTTCAGTGCTGTCCCACAGAACGAGCCTGGGATCCGAGCTGTTCCATATGCTGCAGCAGAGTAGAGGAAATGGCACCTTTTTTCTTTTTTTTTTTTAAGTCACACATTCTTTTGTTGAGTTTACTGTCTGTTATACAGGCAAATGAATATCTGCATTTTTTGTCAGGTGTTTCATACAAGACTTCTGCAGCGGCAGCCAAAGCATTTAAATTATTTTTTTTGTCTTTATTTTTATTGGCCTGGTTTCCACTTTAACAAATTCACAGCTTGTGAACTGTTGCTGGAAGAGTCAAATGTGCAAAGCATTAAGGAAGCACTAAGCACAGCCATCCTTTTAATTTGTGCCCTGTCTTTGCTACTAATAGCGTGTAACATCTGACTACAGCAATGCCTAAAGCACGGGCTCCCGTGGAGCCCCGCTGTGCAGGTGCCGTGCAGGCGGGAGGGGGAATTCCTGCCTTGTGGGGTCTCGAGTGGGAACTCAATGAGAAGGGCTGGGGGAAATCACCATGGTGGGGAATGAGAGGAAGCGATTTGGTCACGTACAGGATCAGTGATGGAACAGGGAGCAGAATTAGGTCTCTGCTAGGTTATGTACTTTTCTGTCCCATTTTATTATGAGCCCATGGATGGAATTGTCTGCATTCACTAATTAGCAGGTTGCAGCTAAGGACAAATCTTACTGAGGCTCACCTCAGCTTGCCTGGGGGAGACTTAGTGCTAACCGTGACTTTTCCTTGTTTCTACTGACCAGTCCAGTCTCGATCAACTTGGTAGTTTTGAAAACTGTGTTCAATTAATTCCATTGTAGAGACAGCCCCTCTGGCCATGCAAGTTTGCAGGGAGAGGCACAGAAAATAGGTTTGGATAGCGACCTACCTTCCTCTGCAGTCATGGAAATCATACCCACGAATTCATAACCTGAAAATACAAATACAGAGCTGATAGATGTGACAAAAGAAATTGTGCTTCTGTTTCTCAGAATGCCATGACAGAGAAACTGTGCTTTTAGTGGAGCTGCTGAGTTCTTGACATGAAAGTTCCTTTTACAAATCCAACGCATTAGTAACAATAAACAGATCTTCCAATGGAGATTGATTTAGGGGAAAAAAATAAAACAGATGGATTAGCACAAGCATTCATCTTCACTGTCAGTTTAATATCAAGATAATTTTATTTGATGGTTCAATATAATAAATTCCTCTTTTCCTTAATACATATTTGGGAAAAGCAGGCAATATTGTAATACAGTAATTAGCCATATTTGCCTTTACTATGTGTGAATAAGATTAATATACTGGAGTGTTCAACCTAATTGATCTATTATGTGATAGGGACTCGCAACCAGACTGCAAATTACAGTTTAACCCCCCAAAGGGCTAGACTTGTTTAGAAAATGTGCGAGTCTTTAAGAGATAAAATTAATAGAACTGGCGTTGACCTAAATATTCAGTGTTATTAATTGTATCAGTGGATTGTGGTGCTTTTATGTGCAACTAGGAAGGCAATGTGTGTAGAAAGGAGCGGGTTTATGACGGCAGTGGGAAGGGAGGCTAACAGAAAACATGACAATTATTGCAAACCAGGTTTCCTGGTTAAAAAAGTGATTGTCACAGGCCCTTAAAATTGCTATTCCATGTGGTTGTGATTAAACAAATCATCCGTGCAGCGCGTTTGGAACATAATGGCTCTGTGGGAAAAAAAAATGTAAATCAGGTTTTTGTATTAATGAAAACGGTTTAATATGGTTTTAATGACCCATTTTTCAGTCTTCACCAGAAAGTAATTACCAGTTAGATAGTTAGTGCTCTGGGCTTTGTTCTGGCTCTCAGAACCCCTTCAGCCTGTCACCCACGGGACTCCTGTGTGCTTTGTGGGCAGCCCTGGGCTAGTGAGCCAGTGGCCACCGGGCCCTTCTCTGCAGCTCTGCTTTGTAGGGCATGAGGGCAAGTGTGTCTGTGCTTGCAGGTTCCCTGTTTGTTGCCAACTGGACTAAGGGAGACGAATTCATACTGAAACTAAAACTGGGGAGGCCTGGATATACCTGATCAATGATTTATCTCTGGGAGTAGGTCAGGGCTGTGAGGCTGAACATCTGGGCATGGCAGCTGGGTGGGGAGCAGTGGGCAGCTTGGGTCCCCAAGGAAGGTGCAGCCCTATGGCAACAGAAACAGCTGGCAGGTTTCATTGGCTGCAACTTGCTCATCTCCAGCAGAAATGAGAGAGCAGCAGATGTGGTCACTGGGAAAACTGTGGACTTGGGATCTGTGTGTGCCTGCCTACCACCTAACCGTGTAAACCCTCCTGGCTCCCTGCTCTTGTGCGTGGGTGCAAAGTTTGATGGTAAATGACTGAGGTCTTAGCACCTTCTTAATACTTGGAAAGGGCTGCCTGCCAGTGGCGTTCATTCAGAATAGGGAATTATTAGATTGCTTTTTGCTGCAGTGCTGGTGAGCATTACAGCAAGCTCAGGGCAGCCATGAGCAGGTAAGGCGTTGGTAGGCACCTTTTGATCAAGCAAATTAAGACCCTGTTGGATGCTCGCAGTTTGCACCCACTTACATATGGGCAGATATTTCATTATAGAATGTTTTTTGGTCTGGTGAAGAAAGGCATAATGTAACCCAATTCCTTGATGTAGGAATGTGCAGTCAAAGAGGTACATTTTTTTCACATCGAGAGTGCTCAACATTGGAATCCTTTGCTGGGGGATGTGGTGAATATATTATCACTGGAAATTTCAATATTAAGGCAGGTGTTTCCAGCCAGAGACCTGCTGACAGAGACTTGGAGATGTGCTCATGTACAGGTGTGAGACTGCATCCAGTGCTCCTAATGCCACTGAGAAATAAAATAGATTGAGTGAGGAGGAGATTTTGAGGGAGGGAAGGATCCTTCAGACTTTATTTATCCATTGTAAAGAAACGTATGAGGGTAAACAGAAATCGATTTTTCTAAAAATCCCTCCCAGGTCACCTGTAGTGGAAATAATGCGACACAGCTCAATGCCACGCACTGCAGATTTTGTCAAGAACATAAAGAAACCTGGCGCTTTATTTTTATTTTTGAAGTGGAAGTGGTTCACAAGGTATACCAGGGAGATGATTCAGTGCTTACAGCTGTGACATGTCAGAGTCTCGTAAGCTCAGATGACTGTCTTTATTGTGTTTTCCTTTTCATCTTCCAAACTTTGAGCCCTTGTGTTCCTATCGTTTTCCCTTTTCTGATGTGAAATAAGGAGCATATTCTAAACAATGAATGGTGTTCTTTTGATACATGCCGTAATAAAGAAACACTGACTTGGAGAACAGCAGATCATAGCTGTCCACAAAGAAGTACAGAGAGGTGCTAATCCTTTTGGCATGGCACTTCAGCCGCTTCTCCTGCTGGCTGATGGAAAGCCAACAATTATTTCTTTCTTCTAACATAGCGGGGACAAAGGAGCTTCCTTTAGCAACCCGTATCTGCCCTAATTTATGTTGCAACATTTTAGGGAAGGGAGCAAAAGTCATTTTAGAAGCTATTGAAGAATGTCTTCCTCTTTTATAGCTCCTGCACGTTTTTGGCAAATGAAGCAGAATACATTCGTGGGGCACATCAATGGCAGCAGTCTGTAAAGGGCTCAGGGAGGGCCTAATCACCTCTTCAGCTGCCATGCGGGGAAGGTAGGAGACATGAAGCTGAGGGAGAGCTGTTCTGTGGGTGGGACCGCAGGGATGGGGCTGTCCTCTGCTGAAAGGGCTGGGTTAGGTAAAGCAGCATCCCAGTGCTTGTGGGGCTTTGTCTTGGATTGTTGCTGCTGCAGTGACCTTTGGGGAATAGCACCCGGGTGCTGATGAAAGGCTCTGTGGATTTCACCCTTGCTCATGCAGACAGGGAGCTGTGACTCATAAAGGGCTCTGGTGCTCTGTCTCACCCCTGGGAGCTGTGGCACGGGCTCTGTTTAGAAGTTCTTTGCAATTTGGATGATTTTTTTCTTTCCTCCCTCAAACAGGATGACTTTTGCTGTGCTGTTATGTGTTGGATGAGATGGCAGCTCCCTGCTGAATGCTGTGCTGTGATGGGGGCCTTAAGATGTGTAACATATATGACACAATTGTTGAAAGAAGTTTGGTGGGGATCTTTCACGTGGCTAGTTGGAACACGTGGTCAGATTCATGCTGATTGACCCTGGCTGGACATCAGTACTGCTGGGTGCGTGGGATCCCACCAGGGATGGAAAATTCACCATGGATAGAAAACTGGTTTGCCTTTGTTTGAGTGCATGACTCAGGATGTAGCAAGGATGTGGCAGTCAACACTCCTTCTGAGGGGCTGGAGCCCAGAGATGGCAACAGCACTGTACTGAGAATCATAGAATCACAAGGTTGGGAATGACCTATAAGAGATAATCCAGTCCAACCATCTTCACATTACCACTGCTACCACAATGAGCACACGACAGGTGAAGAAATAGCACCAGCGTCCTGCTGGAGTGCATCACTTCACACTGGATTAACCTGGAAGGCTTATTCTGATTACAACCTAGTTGGACTAGATGATAGCCAGAAGCGCCTTCCAACCCCTACATTCTTGTGATTCTGTGTGAATTGACTCCAGTGTGTGATTTTTGTGACATTTTGTCAGAATATCCCCTATTAGGCAGCCAAGTACTCTGGTCAAGGGCTATATTTTTGCTATTGAGTAAAACAGTAGTTAGTACATAATGGCTCCAACTTCTCACTGAAACTTCTCTGGGCTTTACTGTACTGTGAGCAAAAAGTAATGAGATTGACCAGAACAAAAAAGCCCCAGGAATCTTGATTTTTTTTTTCTTTTTTTTTTTTTTTTCCTACCAGTTTGAGCTGCAGAGAGTCCCCTATCCCTTAAGACCTGGTGCACGTGGGAATATTTCCACGTCCAGTGGGGTGACTGGGATTAAAGCACGTGGCTCTGCAAAATGAGGGTTTAACTCCACAACCTGCCGGCCAGCGCTGTGCTTGGCACTTGAACAAACCAACTGCAGCTTTAACCAGTGTGATGTTGCATCCACATCAAGAAAGCCACTTCATGCTTGGCTTAGGCTTGGTTGTTCCTGCTGGTTGTTCTGTGCCCATATCACCCTGATATGTCAACTGCTTGCTTTGCTGGGACTGCCAGGTTTGGTCAAAGGCACCTGAAATGAATGCGCTGGTGTCTGAGGATGATGGGTAGATATTTATATTTTTAAGCTCCTCTGCTGACTTCTTCCTTCCAATCACAGTGATGCTTTCTTCTCTTGAGGTTGTGTTCATCCTTTTCTTTGCCCTGCTAACTTCTACTTTCTCTCTGCTAGGCTCTTTCTGTCTTGTTTCCATGTCTGATGGTAGATGGGGGCAGGCTCTGTATCTGGGAGACACCTGAGGAAACCAAGAAGCAGAATTCTTAATTATTGGCTGGACAATACTTGATTTATCCTCTTCCCATCATTGTGATTGCTTTATCTGTTTTTAATGTCTGTGTTCTTTAAAAAACAAGTGCTGGGGGAGAGGCATGCTCTGAGCTGGATCTCAGAGCTGTGCTTCATGGGACTGCTGCAGGTTCCTGAGCTGAACACCTCATCCTTTGCTTCCTGTGGTCCTTTTCTGTGCCCTGGGCTTGGCCATAGCTCAGTGCTACTGCCTGTGCCAGGGCTGTGCTCCCTTCAATGTGGCTTGGGAAAAGCAAGGAGTGGATAGTTGTGGGCAGCAATGTGCAGAGCCTGGGGGGTGTCAGGGCTTGGTAAGCCCACAGGGTGTGTCTTAATAATTTGAAGAGTTTTACAAATTGGCTTTCTGGAGCTGGGAGATGGGCTGGGGAAATGGGGATCTCCTGCAAGCAAAGCCCTGTGTCTTCCCAAGGAAGGCTGCTCAGCTGCTGCCTTAGAGGAGCTCAGGGAGTTCTGTAGCAGCTGCGTGGGAGGAGAAGAGGGATTTGTGGTTCAGCTTCTGGGAATTGAAGTGTTGAAATCTTGCCAGCCAAAAATGAGATGGTGGGTGAAATCCAGGCCTTGCTGAAATCACTGCAGTTTTGTTTTGTGCTTCAGTAGCATCAAGACATCACCCCAGCTCTGCAAGGGAAGAGTTGGAGGAATGTCCACTGCAGTGCTTGTTGCTGAAGCTCCATAGCCTGAACCCTCATAGAAAAATAAATGTCACAGCTGCAGTGCCAGAGCATTCCAATTTGCATGTGCATATTCAGATAACAAAGGGAAAAACTGGTGAGGGGGTGTTTGTAGGGTTAAACTTCCTATATACTTCTTTTTATAGTCAGGAGAGTGCACTGGGCATGGACCATTCCCTGGCTTTAAGTGTGGCTCTTCCTCTGGAGGGAAGAATCTGTTTCATCTCCCCAGGATGGAGTGACCTGCCTGATCTGCTGCTGCGCTGGATGGTATTATAAATACTTCTCTCACCTGTACAGGGAAATCAAATAACAATTAAAAGGAACCAAGTAAAAAGACATGAATCAATTCCATTAGAATAGCAAGCATTTGCTCAAGTCTCCGTACGGGATTGGTGTGTAAGCGCATACAAAAATGTAAATGTATTTTTCTTTTTGCCACATATGATTTTTTTAATGATTAACTGGATACTTTGGTCAGGAGATGGTGCTGTAAATATGTCTGTCTTGGACACTTGTCTGAACATCCCCAGTACTACGTGACACTGAGCTCTGGAAGCAGATTGCCCTAAAGATCTGTTCTGCAATGAGATCTGCACTCTGCTGCTGTGCGAAGACGAATTATATGGTTGAAGGGCTGTCAGGAGGTTTTTGTACCTCAGATATGGTCACCTAGCAATTTGCTATCACCTGCCCTTCCTTGTACCATTGTGGGCTTGTCCTGTCCTTTGTCCCAACCTCTCAAAGGATGTGCTGTTTGGGCAAAAAAAACCAGGCAACTGCTACTGAGCCTCAAACGCCAAGTCACTGTACCATGTATAAAAGTACTACAATAAACTCCTTTTAGCAACGTTAATTCCTGCTGACCTTAGCAGTAATGTCTGACATCTTTCATGGTTAAGGTGTCTTGGAGCATACCCAGTAGGGAAAGCTCTCTGCAGACATGTCTTCACATGTTTTTTGTCTTGAATCTGAGACCTAAATGCAGAATCTAATAGCTTTGGACCTGGTATGTTCACATAATAATTCCTGGAGAGCTGCTAGAGAAGTGAGCCATTGGTAGGCTGCTCTTCATTGTTTCTGTGTATAGTCTGTGCTTAATAAATGTCTTTTTCACATATTTTTAACAGTAAATATATATATATTCAATTTAATTTTCTGTAGAGAAAGGCACCAAAGGAAAGTACAGTTGAATGGCAATGCCTATGCTAACAGAGCACTGCCAGGCCATATAGATTTCTGCTTTGTATGCAAACAAAGAGGTGTTAGCTTTGGGTAGAGCATCTTGCCCCAGCATTCTTAGGTTGGTGAAGATGAGCATGGTCAGGCACTGACTCTTGATGTCTCACATATAGTATTAACTGCCTTGTCTACATTGGCATAGGGTTGTGTCTGGCAGCCTGATGACTGGGAAGCCCATCCCCACACACGTGGCCTTGTTGTAGTGTAGGCTGCCTTGGTTTGTGCCTTCTATGTCAGAGATCCTTTGCTCATCTGTTCTGATGGAGCCTTTTTGCAAATGCATAGTTAATGACTAGAGTGGAAAATACTTTAAATTCTTTTTGATAACTTCAAAAATGTTTTCAGTAGCAGCTGAGTTGTCAGAGAATATTTACATAAGTGCATCTGTGAACCTTGCTATAATATCTTAAGATCTGCGGCAGCTTTGTCACTTCCTTACAAATAGCTGTGAGCGATCTATTATGTAAAAAGGTTCAGTTTAATTTACAGGAAGCCTTACATTTTTCTCCAAGTACTGTGTTTAGTTCTTCTATCTATCTTCTTTAAACGCTACTGTGACTTTTTTTAATGCTTCTCTACAGAATTTTGAATGATGTGTAAGGAAATGTAATACCTTCTTATTTGGCTGAGGAGGGGGGAGAGAACTGAGCCATCCTTGTGTTGGTGAGCTGCTCTCCAAGCCTCCCTTTGGCACTCCTGACCTAACACCAAGGTGATGCTGGCAGCTAGAGACAGAAAGCTGTCCCTGGGTTGAATTGGATGGAAATAACAAAATTGCCTGAATCTTGCATCTGGCACTGTTCTGAATGCAAGTTTTGAATAGAATCTAGTCCAGTAAATCCAAACCATCCGATATCTTTAATCACATTATGTAAATGTGACTTACCCAAGTTGCAAAGCTGCTCTGAACAAGCAGAGGCTCGTTGGCATATGTCCTCAATCAGCTGAAAACAATCGGGGACACTTCCTGAGGTTGCTTTGTTCTCCCCCACTGTCATGTGTATTGTGTGTGGTCATGTTCTCCAAGTGTGTGAAGCTTTGCTCACACTGTGGGAATTTCTTCTTTTCTCTATCTCCATCACCGATGAAATCAGCTCTTCAGACATATTTATCCCCGAAGTGTAAAGCTAGAGACAATGATGATAATGGGACCAATTATTTTTCCTAGCGTAGTGTCCCAGATCTGACTTTTCCTGAGAGAATACCATGTTTTTCTCATATTTTATTTGATTTTTCCTCCCGATCACTCGATGACAAATTAACAAGGAGAAGATTGAGAGACGAGTGATCTCTCTCAAACTTACAATATTGAGAGGTCTACATGTTGCTATCCAGAAAATAACTGAAATAACAGAGAAACAAGGCCAACTTGAGCTGCTGCAGCATTCCCAGGAGGAAAAGAAAGAATTGGCAGAAATTTCTGTTAATTTTCACGTTACTTTCATTCAGTAGTGATTAAGACAGCTATGTGCAGATGCTGCTAATGCATAGCGCACTGCATAGGAAGAGTGAGATTTACAGAACTACTCTCCAGAGTTAGCTAAAACTTCTCAGGAAATTTTGCTTGTCTTTGAAGACATTTAGTAGGAAAATGTTTTCTTCTCTTAGAACAAAATAGAACAAAATTTACGTTAGTTGGCTTTTTTTTAAAAGAACTGTCCAAATAAAAACTCTGCAAACTTCATTTTCTTGAGGTAGTGAGTGACTAAAAATCTGTCCAACGTTTTCTTGCTGTGAAACCAATAACCTGTAGGAACTGACAAAGTTGAAGTGCTAGATGTTACCACAGATGTTTTCTTGTACATCTTCAGTAAGTCAATGTAACTTCACTCTTCCTCAGTTTGGAAGACTACTGGCAATGTCCAGTTTGGGAATACAGGCTCCATATTCCACCATTATGTAGATCTTTTTTTTTTATTATTCACAAAGCCCACGAGGTCTATAAAATAAATGGAGTTCAGTGGTTTTTAAACTTGGTGATCTCAAATGGACCAGAAGAATGGCTTAATGCCACCAATGAAAAGAGCAGTCTGCTTATGAGCACATTCAAAATGTTCAGTGCAATCTCAGTTTCTAGTGTTGATTTATTTGGCTCCTACTTTTCTAGGTCCCAATAGCTGCAATGGGAGGCACTTCCAAGTCTCTGCTCCAGAGGGAGGAATAAAAATCAGCTTTTAAGAGCTGGATTCCGTGTTTTCTCAAACATGTTTAGCATTTTGCTCTGATTGCTATGGTGACCTCCAGGTTAATTCAGTAGTGGTCTGTTCTGCTGGGAGAACCCTGCACCCTCCTCCTATGCTTCTGACCTTTTATGACTAGTTCTGTAAAAACATGGCCAAAACCAAACCTCTGGTCAGATATTGTGAACAAATCAGATTTGACTGCTGTCTCATGAAGCTCACTGTATTGGGAGTAGAATTCAGTCTGGGCATTTCCTTTAAAATTGTTGGAGGAGCTTGCTGCAATCCAGAGAACTCTTGGATTGTGCAGAAGGCCATTTTCCATTGTGGTAGAGCCATCCAGTTTGGCAAGACAATATTCCTCTTCCCCGTCCCAAAGTATCTGAACTTCATTATGAGTTTTCATTTTCTTATTCCTGTACAAACTTCATGGTTCCCCAGGGTGCAGCTTCCTGTCTGCCTTCTTGCTGTGCAAATGTCTTTTTCACCTCAGCTTTTCTGTTAGGCCCAGAATTCACTCTTCTAAAGGTCACAGTTTCAGAGTGTACATCTTCTCAGCTGCTCTACATCAGTGAATTTGCTCTCAGATTATTTTCAGGTTTAGAAAAGTGAATACACTTCAGTGTACCCCCATAGAACTTGCGTCTTTCCTCTGCTTTAGATCCATATATTTCTCTAATGTTCCAAGAGAAGAAAACATTTTCAAAACTTTAGGAATGTTGATTGGATTCAAGTGTTAAAACGGGCAAATGTTTATGTAGCTGCTTAAGTATGTGATTTCACAACTTATTTTATATTGTGAAGCGAGGCAAGAATTTGAAGCTAATGGCTGTGATAGTTAAGGTTTATTTAAAATTTTTTTTAGGTATGTCTTAATTTTTTCAGAATGTTCTGAGCAACTGAGTTCTTAATGTCAGGATTTAGGGCAACATAACTGAAGCTTCTATTCTATTCCCAGTGGTATTCTAAGTTGTGACCAGCAGTGAAGGCTACTGCTGTTTATACTTGCGTGTAATATTTTTTACATGCCTTTTTAAAGATAGATGTCAGCGCTCTCTCAATTGGAGTATGTAAGTAATTTGTTTTTACTAGGCCAGTCCTTTGACTCATCTTTCTCTTTAGTAAAGCCTCCTTTTTTGGGCACTTTCATTTCTGGTGTTGGCACAATAAATGTTGGCTCAGTTCTGTGTGCACCCAACAGCACTGGTGCTTATACGCAGTGGCCAGATCGCTTCTAGCTCTCTTGCCCTAAGGAACTTTCCAAAGGGTAACACAGGAGCAGAAGCATTTGCATTCCCCCCCAGGGCTATCCCAGGGCACCCAGTCCCATTGTAGTGCGTTGTCCTTCACAATTTATCCTTTTATTTGGCCTCTTCTCAAGATTAATTCTTTCCCCGCTTGGCAATGATTATGTGGCAATACACAATTAAACTTGGACTTACAGAATGTAAATTATCAACAAGAACTTTCAAGTAGCTGCATTGTTACTTCCCATGCTACTACACAGCTCAGACCTGGTTTGTTTTGCTCTTTTCTTCCTTAAATTGCTGTTGTCTGCTCTCTGGATCTTCTCTCCATCTTCTGTCTCAGTCTCCATATCTTCGGCATCGACTTCCCTTTCTTCACCTACCAAACACCTGTAGGTTGCTGTTTTGTGTTACTTTTTAATCTCTGTGATTTTTGAACCTTTCCCCATTTATGTTCCGTCAGTTAAAAGCTCCCACTTTGTCTTCTAACCGTATCCCATGTTTTACTATCTGCACTAAATCTTCTCGAATTAATCCTTTTCACTGGGTTACAACATTAAATACTAAGGTAAGGCTAAACTTAGGAATGCACTCTGTGTCATAGGAATTGACTGTGAAGTGAATACAAATTTGTGGCTGTGTAGCATCTCTTGGACATAGACTTAAAATTTTACTCCAGCGGGAATCTAAAATCAATGGTGAAATGAACAATAGAACAAGTATTTTGCTTTCTCGTTAAATAAGTAGAAATAATCATGGGTATCAGTTTGAAGCTCAGATGTTGCTGCTTAATTAAAAAGGATACTGAGTAACGATGTGCAGATTAAATCAGGGGATGGAGACTTGAGAATCTGGGTTCAGTTCTCAGATCTGCTGTTTCACTGAGTGACTTGTCCAAGTTGCTGAATATTCTGGAGACCCACTTCCCCATTCTAAAAAGGGGATAACAATGCTGCTTTTATCTTAGATTATGAGGCCTCTGGGGTAGGAACTGCCTGTTACTTCGAGTATGTGTAGCATTTAGCATTCAGCACAATGGGGTCCTCCTCTTGGAGATAATGGCAACAACATGTGCAGCATTCACACAGCACAATTTATCTTTCATCTTCCAGTGCGTTGGATTTCCCAGATTGCCATAGAATCTTCTCGTTTAGAGATGAGAGACCTTAGTTTTGCAAGAATGGAGGCATGCTTTTTGTCTTCCTTTCCTTTGCCTTCTGAGATGAGGGAAGGTGTGGGGGGGAACATTGCTGGTATAGTGCTGATTTTCCTGAAGGATATCCTTGAGAAGGTTGCCAACATGCCTTACCAGTTTGAGAAAGAAATCCATCCAGAAAGTACTTGTGACATACAGGGAGAAATGCATCTGAATTTCATGCCCTATGATTCACC